AAACTAGATCCATGTTTATCACCCTGTACTAGTATCAGCTCAAAATGGATCAGACCTGAAACTCTGAAGCTAGTATAGAAAAGAGCAAGGAATACTCTGGAAGCAATAGGTATGGGCAAAGACTTCCTCAATAGAACCCCAGCAGCTCAGCAACTAAAAGAAAGGATGATAAATGGACTACATGAAATTAAAAAGCTTCTGCCACAACAAAAAGAAATGGTCTCTAAACTGAAGAGACCACCCATAGAGTTGGAGAAAATTTTACTAGCTATTCATCAGACAAAGGATATAAACAGAATATACATGGAGTTTCAAAACACTAAAACTCCCCAAAATTAACCAAACCAATAAAGAAGTGGGCAAACTGAATTTTTTCAAAGGAAGAAATCCAAATGGCAAAAAAAAATACATGAAAAAGTGCTCAGCATCCGTGGTCATAAAGAAAATGCGAACCAAAACCACACTAAGATTCCACATCACTTCTGTTAGAATGGTTATTATAAAAAACACTGACAAGAACAAATTTTGGGAGGATGCAGGGAAAAAGAACCCTCATACACTGTTTGGTGGGAATGTAAGCTAGTAAAACCACTCTGGAAAACAATATGGAGGCTTCTAAAAAATCTAAACATAGACCTGACATATGATCCAGCAATCCTACTCCTGGGGATATACCCAAAAGAATGAATGTAAGTCAGGATACAACAATGGCACCTGCACACCCATGTTTATTACAGCACTATTCAACAATAGCCAAGTTATGGAAACAGCCAAGATGCCCCCATTACTGATGAATGGATTAAGAAAATGTGCTATTTATACATAACAGAATTTTACTCAGCCACAAAGAAGAATGAAATTTTGTCATTCACAAACAAATGGATGGAACTGGAGAACATCATCTTAAGTGAAGTTAGCCAGGCTCAGAAAGCCAAAAACAGTATGTTGTCCCTCATATGTGGATTATAGACCTAAAACAAATGCAGTAATATTATTGCACATGGGTCACATGCTAAGGGGAGAACATGCACAGGAGGAATAGGGAAAGGAAAGGAAAGCTAAAACTTGAAAAGTGTTTGATATGCTCACTGCAGAGGAGCGAATAAAGTAATCTTAAAGCGACAGAGGTCACTATGGAAAGGGGACCAGGAAGTAGTGAAGAGGTCTGGTAGAGATGAACCAATGTGGGTTGTAATACACATGTGCATGGAAGCAATGCTAGGAATCTCTCTTTATACTTATCCTTATCTCAACTAGCAAAAGTGTTATGTCTTTCTTGTTATCTCTTATATTTTCTCTTCAACAAAATTGGAGAACAGGCCAGAACAGGTTCTGCTTGTAAGTGAGGGGGATAGGGAAAGGGGAGGGGGGGGAAGGGGGGAAGAGATGGCCCAAACAATGTATACACATATAAATAAATGAATAAACAATTAAAAAAATAAAAAAGGTTTATGTGTACATATTGATATGCTTACACACAATCTGCTGATAGCACTTTTCTTTGGGGAACAGGACTGGTGAAAGGGTAAGCAGGGGGCAAGAGTTTTAGTTTTTATTTCAATATAGTGCTCATATTTATTAATTTAACACTTTATTTATATATTTGTTTATTTGAACTCACTTTTACCTTTCTTATTGAAATTAATTTAAACGTAAAAATTTCCACAGATTTGGTCCACACTCTAGCATCAAAGTGTTCTATCAAGCTCTACAGAGTCCACATTGTGTTCTGTAGGCTGTTTCCTATGCTGACAGATCAGATGGGTCAGAACCAGCAGGCAGGCAAACATCTCCAGCCACAGCTCTGCAGAAGCGCTGTCCAGGTTGTGGTGGGCTTCTGTGCCCCTGGAGGACTTTCTGTCCAGTGTGTCTGAACTCACATCTCCTGCAAATTCAGAACCCTGCACTGTGGAGCTTGATGTCCTCTGATGTGGACAGGTGCCCTTAGAAACAGGAGCATTTGCTGCCTATACTGAAATGCAGGGTAGGGGGCTGTGCCCAGGCTGATCCTAGGGTCAACTGCAGACACATCAGCCAGTTTCACTGTAACTCATTACAATTAGCCACTTAGTAGCATGACTGACTTAGCATGGTGGGGTATGTCTTACTGAAGATAATCTGCTAGTCGGAACCTCTTCAGGTAAGCACACTCATTCACCTTCCATCAGGCCATCATGGGTTTTACCTTTCATGTGGTTTTCCCCAGGTAATAGGAGCAATGTGCACAAACAATGCAAAGGAAAGGCCAAAATTCTGAGGCATCCCTAAGTTCATATATCTAACAAAGAAAATGTAGCAAAGAAGATATTAAGACACAAACTACATTCATGTAAAAAAAGGGATCGACTTTGTTGTAAAATATCCTTTTTGTCTTAATTTTGTTTCTATTAAGGACACACAATATCACAGTATCCTTGCTGAAGAAACATGAGTTTGATTGGAAACTTTGACAGTCCCTGAAGTTTGTAGACCTTCCTCAACAACACCAGAACACAGGACTACATGACACCACTGAGGCTTGAGGTCTGACTTACAGACATGATACTGTGTGTGGGTCTGATATTTTTCATGCAGAAAGGACTTTTCCTTTCATTTTTCTTCAGTGATACAAAAGTTTCCTCCCACTTTAGAAGAGCATTGCTGCCTTCATTGATAATCTCTCCAGCTACATACAATCATGGCTGCCTTCTCAGCTTTCACTCAGATCAGGACAAGTACCTGCAGCTCCCGGTTATGGTTCTCACACAGTAGCTGGAGAAACCTCAGGATGGGCTGCATGATGGAGATGGTAGGACTCACGGTCACTTCCTCCGCAGTGCGTTCCTCCGCACTGCCCACTTCTGGTCCTGCACACACGAGGTCGACTTCGGGATCCATCTCTCTTCTGTACACACAGTACGCTTTGGATGTTGCCGAGGTAGCTTCTGTCAGCTGCCCCTTCATTCCCTCTTTTAAATGTAGTGGACAATCTCTTGCTGAAAATAAAGCAGTACTCTCAAATTCCTGAACTAATTTTCTTTTACTAATTAAAGAAAATCAGGGACCCAAATTCCCTAACAATTGCATTAAAAATCATCTAACAATAGGCACAACAATATTCTGAAAGCGACTTGAGGTGGCAAGCAAAAAATTCATGTTTTCAGTGGTACCTAAGGAAAAATCCCAGTCTTAGGCTAGTCTTACAATTTTCTGATATATATGTGTATATATCAGTCAGAAACACGTGTGCACATGCACACACCTATCCATAATTCACACAGACAAGGAGAAGGAAAGGACAAATTTACAATGTTACTTTTTTTTTTTTTTGACGCTACTGGGGTTTGAACCCAGGGCCTTGTGCTTGCTAGGCAGGTGCTCTACCACTTCAACCACATTACTAACTTCACAATGTTAACATCTTTATGACTGGACTTCATAGATTGAAAACTTTGTTATTTCAAATACAAAGAGTCTTTTATTGTTTAGCACCATGAATTCTGTTCTTGAAGTTCAGTTTTCATGGTCACTTAAAAGGTTGCAGGTGGTTGTTTGCCACATATCATGATGAAATCAAGTGTGTTTCATGTCACCAGCTGCTTCATGCTGATTATGACTCATTTAAATTTGGTCCTGCAGGGCTGTTTGAGGGTCAAGCCCATGATTAAAACTCATTATGGACTGATGTCCAAGCTCAGAGACATGAGGGAATAATGAAACCAAGATAAGTGAGATGACAAAGGTAAGAGATTTAAGTGCTACATTACCTTCCAATCTCTTACTCCTTTTCCCAAAAACCCCAAACATGTACCTCTCATTCGTGGTGCAGATGTCATGAGTTCGCTGTCCTCGTCTCTTTTTCTGCTCCCTAAATCTACAGTGTTAACTGTCACCGTTGACCGTATCTCTTTCTGAGCAGCCTTCATTCGATCATAGAGAACTTTGAAGAATTTTTCTGACTTTTTTGTTCATGTAACTGCTGATAGAAAGAATACTGCAAGAAAGCACATTTTAAGATGTCAATAATGTCAAACTGGAGGAAATAGTGTTTTCATGCTTGAAGTAAACATAAGCATTTCAGATAAAAGCTCACATTTAAGGTGCTACACATTATTACTTCATAATTTGGCACTTGTACTATTTACTATGTACTAAAAAGAGCTAGCATTTACTTAGTAATTTCCACTAAAATCCAACATATTTTGTGTGCTAGTTCACTCATTCTTCCCGATTATATTTTTTAAAAGTACAAGAGCACTGTAAGAAGTGGTATGGAAAGAGTTCTGTGATTCTCACATTATTACAAGTCTTGCATTGATTCAACATGTATTTATTGCAAGCCTACTATGTGTCAGGTTCCACACTAGCTCCAAGGATAGAACTAAAGAGAAAAGCAACTCCAATCCCTGCCCTATGGGTTTGTAATCTAAAGTGAAGAACTGCCAGTAACCAATATTTATCCTGTAAAAGTACAAGGTTATGTTAAGTGACAGAGTTATTTTCCTCTTTCGAAAATATAGTACATTTAATTTAGAATGTGTTACCATGACAACCACACTCATGGAGCCCAGTGATAAACAGGTACTAGGTTATCCAGTACTTCGTTAGCTATGTTGCTTTCCATGGGATCTAGGACAAATCCAACCTAAAATAATTTCTGCTTTACAGTGATCAACAATAAAGAAAGGATTCAACATCAAACGCCTAACAAAATGTATTTTAGTAAAATGCAGAAATGCTGAATGTGGGAACACTTGCCCTGTCGTCTGCTCCGTGCATTATGGAATGATCCAGAAGAAGAGGTAAGAGATAGGAAAGGTGATATACTCCAGACAAGACAGAATGTGAAGTGGATGGGGAAATTATAAGTGTTAATAATAAAATTATGACATTGATACAATACCAATAAGAGAAATGTACTAAAATCAAACACTAATCCTGTGACTAAAGTGACAGAGAAACAGTGTGAAGGAAACATACAAAAGCACAGTGATTTCCGGATAAAGGAAGAACTGGTGAGATTCCAAAATAGATAATCTGAACTGGCAAGTTTGCAGGATTTGGCCTTCTGTCTGGAACCATGGGCTTTAGGCTGTGGGACTTCCAGGGGAGCCTCTGAAGGCACCAGGTCTCATGGTGGTGTTGTCTGCCATTTTCTACATGGGCAAGGGTATATGGTGTTTTACACAGCCTCAGATGTCAGCTGCATACTTACAGGGGATGCTCCTATGTCTAGGGCCAGCAACCCTCAAGGAAGCTGGCCAAAGAAGCAGAGTAACCATAGCAACCACAGGGAAGCCAGCAAGCACACATTAAGCTGATGTTTAAACCTTAGTATTTTTAATGTAATGAGGTTGCAGGATGGAAGGAGGTTCTAATAACTGGTCAGGAATTATGGAAGCATTGTGGCTCCACTGAGACAAAAGTTTTATAATTTGGATCACACCTTGGATATTGCTGGTCCAGCAGTGAGAGTGAACAGTGCACCCTCACTGGCACTTCATAGATTAATAAAATGACCTTTAATGAAGGTCAGTGACTTGCCTGGTATTATACAACTAGTAAGTGGTACAGCTAGGCTTTAAATTTGGGTTTTTCTACGTCTTATTTATTAAATAACATTATAAGTTCAGAGCAGCAGATTTTTTCCATAGATGACACTTTTTAAACCCAGGACTCTATAGCATGAACAGCATGAGCTTAATGAAGATTAAAAAGAAAAATGTTTCAGCTGTAACTATACAATGTCAGCAGATAGCATAAGTGTCTCTTCTTACTACAGATAGAGTTTTCACTTATACAGCAGCACGGAATATAAGGAGAAGCTCCCAGGTTCTTTTCAGGAAAGCAAAGTAATGAATAAACACATCTTTGTGACAGAGGAATAACTTGGCCCTGAGGAGCAGGAGGCAGAGTGGACATGGCAGGCAGAGAAGGGAAGTGAAGTGATGAGCTAAAGAGGCAGAGAAAGCCAAGGGCATGATACAGAGTGAGTCAGCCAGCTATCCCTCCCGGGGTTAAGAATAGAAGGTTAGAAAGGAGCTGTTCACTGTGGCTTAGAGTGCCAAATCTGGAGCCAGACTCATGGATCCGATTTCTGACTGATCTCTAGGTAGCTTGTGAGCTTGGGCCTGTCTCCGTCTCTCCTTTGGTAAGATAGGGTAATATGCTACCTCACAGGTTGGTTGAGGGTTAAGCAACATATAAATCACTAAGAATGGTCCCTCATATTTAGAAGGCTTTATTTTTCTTATTGTTATTACTAGCATCTGACGTTGTCATATAAATTTTTCTTCTACCCTCTGCCACCAATCTATCTTTAATAAAGTATACTAAATACGTAAATTGACTCATGTAGTTAGGAGGGTAGAAAATAAAGCAGGGGCTTTGATTCATGTCTCTGTATAATAGGGGCAGGGCTGTAAGACATTCCATGAACCAAAAGCCAGATAATACTGGTTAAGGAGACAGTGAGAATGGAAATCCCCCAGGGAGTCTTGGGGAGGGATATGGTTTAGTCTGCCATAGGGCAAGGAACAGGATTCAAGATGATCGAAATTAGAATGGAAGCACCAGCCAGACTAGAGCCAGAAACACACAGCACATGGCTGGCACCAAGTGATATAATGATATACAACAATGTACAACAAAACTCAAAGGCGAGAAACCTGAGTAGGGAAAGGTGTCACAGCCCACCTTAAAAGAAATTTTTATATACAAATGTAATTAGATGCTGTTTCTTCAACAGGTATTTGCTGATTGGCTATAAGGGGCTGTGGAGGTAAAGAATAGCACATGACCTCTCAACTTTGAAGAAAGTTGAAATTTAATTGGAAGGGCAGATGTAACAAAAATAATAAAACAAAGCAGCACACAGTGTCCAGTGACTGTTAAAGAAATAACAGCTCCTATAGGAGCTCAGGGAAGGAGCAGCAGCCATATGTCCCAGCAAGGGAAGAAAGAGGAACTTGACCAGGATCGTTCAGTCATAGATACATTCATGCCTGAACATTTACTGAGAACTATATAGGATCAGACATGGTGCCAGACCCCAACAGTACAACCTTTAGGAATTGTTAATTTATTAGACAGTGTGCGGCACATACGCAGAGGACAACAAAGTTGCAAAAACCACTGAAGATGTCTGCAGGGGCATCCAGGACCAGAAAAGAGTTCCAAGAGAAGTCTGCCGAGTTGAGTCCCTTGAAGAGGAGAAAACACCATGAGAAATCAATGCAATATATCTGAGGAACTGCAGAGTCTAGTATAGCTGATGCACAACAGAAAGAACAGCAGAGGGAAGAAGTGGGTGTGAAAGGGAAGCTAGAGGATATGAAGGGGTGAAATCATGGACTGTAGTAGGGAGTTTGCCTTTATAAGGACAATGACGGATCCAAAGCAGAAAGATCACACGTTTGGGGAAAGGGAGCTTTGAGGCACCAGGGAGAGCCATTTTGAGAAGGAATTAATTGGAAGCAGGCTACCTCTCGGAAAATTTCTGCTCACGAACAGATGAGGTGGATTGGTAACGAGGGATGGAGAAGCAGGGGTTGGAAACAGATGCACAAGATGTCAGGAGGGTAGTCAATGAGATCAGCTGTCAATGGGACATCCAGGGTGAGTGAGTTACAGTCAAGGCTGACCTTCAGTTTGGTCAGATGGTCAGGCATTGCTAGTCACCAAGACAGGTGATGAGAAGGGAAGAATGGGTATATGGAGAGTGACAATGGGTCCAACATGTTGACTTGTAGGACATTCCATTAAATGATTACAGGAGGACAGCTGGTTAGAGTGTTTAGGGCTTGAGTGCGTGAGCTGAGAATTGTCAGCATATAGTGAACAAGCAAAATAAGAGAAGAGTCCAAAGAACCTTGGGAGGTGTTGGATTTGAGGGTTATCAGAGGAAGAGGAACCACCACAGGAGGCTGAGAAGAAGTGTAGGAAGGAGGAAGAGGGACTGGCGAAGGTGGTGTCCAAGACGCAGATAGAACAGATTTCCAGAAGAAGCCAGCCTCCAGTGACAAATGCATAGAAATATCAGGAGAATAATGACTGAATGATGCTTTGACTGTGAAGGATGTAGGGAATAACTTCCAGGAATTTAAAAGTGGGATATGTAGGATGAAGAAGGATATGTGTAATGACCAGAAACAAGAGTCTAGAAAGTAACATAACCTAAGGATCGCTCCTTATGTCAAGACATCCTTCATTCCCATCCTCTGAGTAAGTCTATATCTAACGCTATGCAGTTCCTGACACAATTTCTCCAGAGTCTCGACTGGATATGTTGGAGAAGACAAGGCAATTTCCAAAAGAACTCATTCATATTCCTCCAACACTTCCTTCTACAATGTCCCTCAGAGAGATTTGTGTCACAGCTTTAGCACCACAGGGATTTTCAACACTTTTATTTTTCCAACTAAGAAATGCCATTGTTTGGGCTGGCTGTGGTGGCCCACACCTATAATTCCAGCTACTCAGGAGACAGATTACTAACCAGGGCAAAAAAAGTGAGACGTTATCTGAAAAATAATTAAAGCTAAAAGGGCAGGGGGTGTGATTCAAGTGGCAAAGCACTAGCTAGTGTGGGGCTATGACTTCAAATCCCAGTACCACTAAAAAAAAAAGAAATATGGTTTGGAGGTTGTGTGCTACTTGTTGCTCCTGAGGCCTTGGATCCTGAAACGACTGCTACCAGATGTGTCAGACAGTTAAGTTCCTGTTGTTCAATATATTTGATGCTAGTTAAAGCAAAATGTCCCAGTTTTGAATTAAGAGATGGCTCTGCTTGCTGTGAATGGGGACAATGGATTTTGGAATTGTTAATTAATTGTAATTACATAGTTTCCTCCATGGACATAGGCAAATCCAGAAGGGCTAGGTTACTGAGTCACAGGGTGGGTGGACAGTGTGTTCTCAGGGATATGTCCAGGCCCTGGCCCACGCGGCCTGCTTTGCCTGGGCTGTGGAGAAGCTCTGGGCGACAGCAAGGCTTTCGCAGGGAAGCAGTGGCCAGCCTGTATGTGGTGGTGGACATGCTTCTTGCTGTGTACAGGGCTACTCCAGGGTGGTACTACAGGGATGCCACTAAGGATGCTCTACTGTGGGGAATACCATGTGAAACCCTGAAGTGTTGCCCTGAATCAGTGCCACAGGGAAAATGTGAAACACGGATTGTTTTAAAGCGGAAATGAGAAGATAGAAGAAACAAAAAACTTTCCCTTGGTTTCCATGACAGTGAACAAGACACAGAAGTAAGAATAGGATGCACATAATTAGCCAGTGAGCACCTGTGTTTGTGTGTTTCCTCCTTCCAGCAAGGCAATGCCAAGGAGAATGCTTTCTGAAAAAATCCGGTCGTTTTTGGTGTTCACTATAACATCGATGACGAGCTCTGACGCGCCTTCCTTGTCCAGCAGACACTGAATGTCAGACATTGAAATCCCCAGCTTATCCGTCTCCTGTCCAGAAAAGCTTCCTGTGGTGGGAGAAACGAGTGAATGAAGTCAAGTGCAGAATTTATTAGCACGCGATGTTTGACTTCTTACCATGAAAGTTAGATATAAACAAGGCTTGAGTTAAACAATACTAAATACTTGTAAAAATGGAAACATTTATTAAATGTCTCACACCTTTAATTAAATATTTTCTTCAAAAGTACTTTAGAAAAAGAAAACTACTTTATTTTTGTGCTTAATGTATATGCTAAGAACTGTGACTTAGTTTAACTATTTTGCCAGAGTCACAAGGCAAAACCAATTGTAATGCTCAAAAGCTGTTATCTTATGAACCCCAAGCTGCACATGTGTAATAGAGGTTGCAAATGAGTATTTTACAGTTCTGATGTAACGGAAACTAGAGTTCCAGTGACGTCAAGATTCGTCAGGAGAATGGGCAAGTGAGAAGAGAGCGCAGCCTCACCTCCCACTTGTGCAGATTTGGAGTACGTTCCTGACAGGTGGCCACTCACACCAGCCCATAATCACCTTTAAAGTATCGATTCAGGAGTATTTTTCGCAATGTGCTACCCTAAGAAGAAGGAGAAGAAAGTTATTGTTATCACTGCTTCTTTTTCTAATAAAAGTGAAAATGTCAATACATCAAAATGTATTTTATGGATGATGATGAGACATGGATAATGAGATTTTACACCGAATAATATTGTCTGGGGCAGAAATGTGTAATGTATCCCACTAAAATCATGATTGCTTTACCTCTCAAAATAAGAAAGAAGGCAGGAGGGAGCTTGTGAGGTGGTGGATGGGTCCCTGGCACAGGCTGTGGCAACAGTTCTGTGGCTGTGTCCTTATCTCCAAACTCACTGCCTAGTGCACATTAAATACATGCTTTTTGTGTGTCAGTCACATCTTAATAAAGTGGTTTCATCAGAGTTTGGTTCTCCCAAATAAAAAATAAATTATGGTATTTTCAATGGAATGTACTAGAAAAATCACAAATTAGGTAATAGCTGGAAGTCCTGTATTGGTAAAAATGTCAGCAGTGCCTAAAGAAAGCAGAGTAACAAAAACCCTGAGAACTGGGTAATGTGAGACCTTATGGGAGCTTAGCAGAAGCTGAAAATGACCTAGGTGTACAGCAGAGGTATAAAAATTAACCTGAGACAGGGTGAATTACATTCAAACTCTGAGAAGCTTTGTTCAGAAGACAGTGTATCCCTTCATAAAACATATAATTCAAAAATTCCTAAGTCTTCAACTTTGTACTGACTACGATTTTTAAAAATAATAAATTTTGCAATACAATTGCTTGCATGTATATAGAAGAAACACAGGTGAAAACTCCAGCTCTTTCCTTTCATTGGTTAGTATTTATTTAATAAAAGTATTACTTAAAGAACACTTGTTTAAACTATTTAAATCAACACAGCTACTCATCTTGCAGGTGAAGAAAGTAAGGCCCAAGTGCCTACGCAGACTTGAGTCTTGATTGCAAAATCCAGCCATTTCCCCAAGCACCCGCTGTAACAGGTGGCTGACATTGTACCCGTCTCTCCCTCCTGCTTTGCCAAGTTCTTTCTCAAGTCTTGAAGGCTTTGCCCTCAGGTCTGGCTTTGGGCTCCCTGCCTCATCTGCAATTCCATCAGATCCTTGGCTGCACAATTGTCTCACTCAGCCTTGACCTTGTTTTCCTACGCTTCTCACTGTTTCCACTTAGGTTTCCTTAGCTCTGCCTGGAGGTTCTCCTGGCACTTCAAACTCAGCTTTTCAGAATGGAATATTCCTTCTCTCTTACACAGGTTTTCCTCTCAATAGCAACTCATGTTAAGGAGATTGCAGCCATGCTGCTTGCTAAGGCTCCAATGTGAAGGAATCACTAACTCCCTCCCCCATCCTGATGATGATTTCTGAAATCCTACCTGTGTGACTCTAGCTTCCAGCACGGCCTTCAAACATTACTGTTTTAACCAAATTGAGCTATGTGATCATTTCTCAACCAAAGCTTTCTAAGTCTATGTCTTTGTTTGCTTCACAGTCTGTGCTGAGTACTTATGGGCAGGTCCTGTCTTCCCTCTTCGTTCTAGTATCCATTAGGTGCCTATGGATTCAGGCATTACCCTAAGTGAGTAAGCTGTAAGCCTCCTCTCAAAGAGCTTAAAGGAGTGAATTCAGTCACTAGGTCTTGTAGATGCACCTAAGAGGAAGCAGTCAACTCTGAGGAGGATCCTAGGGCATGCATTCTCTTCCAGCATCAGAGCAAGCCTGCCTGTGCACAGCCAACAAGCAATAAGTATGTCCTCATTGTTACAGTGCAATATTTTAATAGCCACTCATGGTTCATGCTTGCTTATCTTTTATGACTGTGACTTTCACTTATGGATACTTTAATTCTTGGAGCACAGACAGCTGTCATTGCTTTCCATTGCATGTTTTCTTCCTTTAAAATCTTTTCATACAGAGCTGTAGTGAGTAAATGTGATTACTAATCTTGGATGAAACAGAGGTGTGAGAGCTTTCCTACCACTGAATGCACCTCTGCTATCTTAGAAAACCTAAGTTAGCACCTAGAGGAGAAATAAAAGTAGCTATTACTTTTTTTTTTTTTTTAAAGAGAAGGCCCTTTGTGCTGAATTTGTTCATCTGGTTTAAAAAATGATCCTTCCAAAAAGGGAGTAAAAACAAAATAAAGCATGTCTTTGGACTGAAATGGGCCTCTGCTATATATCTTCTTACAACAGGAAGAAGTGCCATGAAAGAAGGATTAGACTCAGAAACTCTGGGTTGGCAGGTATCACTGGGGAGAAAGTCTGAGGTCATATGAAGAGGTGCTGAGGCTCTGTAAAGCCAGCTCACTTTGTAGAACTAACCATGGCTCTCGTCCCCACAGACACTCACACCAGCCCTGCAACACACAGCTGATATGTCTGTAATGCACAAAAGCTATGAGATGTGAGGACCAGGCCTCCTTCCTTAGATTTGGTGTTGGTGTCAGGAAGGACCTGCTGTGAGTGGTGGGCTGGATCCTGGCAAACAACCTCCCTTTCACTCTGTAAGAATCTTTTATTCACACTTTTTAATAACACGACTCCAAGAATCCAACCAAGAAACAAAAACCATTTTTTTAAAAGAAAACTGTTTTCACCCTTTGCTTTATAAACTATCCTTTTATTGCTAAAAGAAGAAAATGTTTAAAAAATCAGAGACTACAATTGTATCACACTAAAAACTAAAATAACCATATTTATCAATAATTTAGAAATTTCTTTGGACAGATAAACTAAAAACAGGATGATAAACATGAGTCAAATAAGCAAAACTTTTATTATCCAATTTCTACCTGGTCAGAAGCACGAATTTTCTGACTGTGAAGTTCTCAGAATGTCATAGAAAAGGGAGGGGCTCTCCACACTTCTGCTAACTCTGGAACCACAACACCAGGTTCAAATCCCCTCTGTGTCATGTACAGACTGGGGGATCTTATGCAAATTACATCATTTCTCTGGACCTCAACCCCTTAATTGTCAAAGGGAAGAGTTACTGGACTCACCCTTGTAGAGTTTCTGTGATAACTCAGCAGTGAAAATTACATGAGGCACTGAGAATGGTCCCTAGCTCACCTGAAGGGCTATATGGGCTATGCCCAGTTGATGGGACCCCAGCAGTGTTGAGGTTATCCGTATCACAGACTAGTTCAACCCTTGACCTTCTGCTCCCTTCCTTACGTCATACAAAAGTGAAAGATATTTCTAATACACTAAGAAAATGGCAAGAAATAAGTGACAAATGCTGAAATCCCAGTTTTTCCTATCAGTCAGTTAATGTAGTTGCATCATTGTGAGCAAAGCTATCCTAAAGCATGCATATATTTCACCATAAAAAAATGTAACTTATGACATCAACCAAAGTGGAAGAACATTCCACCTTGGTTCAAACATTGGGGGTTTTAGCTAAGAACTTTTTTGGTGCTAAAAATGGATGAAGAACTGCAGATGGAATAACACTCTATCTAAGTAATCTCCACTTAAGAATGGAAAACTCTGCCAGGTACCAGTGGCTCACACCTATAATCCCAGCTACTTAGGAGACTGAGATCCAGAGGATTGCAGTTCAAGGCAAGCCCAGGGAAATGGTTCACAAGACCCCATCTCAACTAATAGCTGGGCATATTACTATCAGGGGGCCGAGATGGGGAGGATTATGGTTCCGGGCTAGTAAGACTCCCCATCTCAATGGTAAAAAGCTGGATGAAGCAGCACATGCCTATCATCCCAGCTGCAGTGGGAAGGTAAAACAGGGATTGCAGTCCAGGATGGCTTGGAGATAGTGAGATCATATCTCCAAAACTACTAGAGCAAAAGAGCTGCAGGCATGGCTCAAGTAGCACAGTGCCTGCCCAGCAAGCGGAAAGCCCTAAGTTCAAACTCCAGGACCACCAAAATAAAAAACAAACAAACATAAAGAATGGAAAAACTGTCAATGTTACCACGTCACACTTTAGCATAGCTGCTGTTGTCATTCACCAGTTCTAACTTGAAGGATGAGAGGCAAGTCCTGGTCTCTGTCACCCCAGAGTGTTCTTGGTGGTCTGCACTGTCTAGGCTGGGTTACAGTGGTTGTAGCTTAGATGTAAGACACTTCCCAAAACTATTTTAACTCAAATAAAGTAACCATAGAGTCCTTGTCAGAAACGCTCATCAGAAATAATTGTCTCAAAGCTATGATCACCATGTGGAAACACATGAACTAATGGCCCCTAAGCCGTTTGGAAAGAATTCCACTAAAATGGAGACGTTTAACTTCTGTACTGCTGGTCAGATCGGATCCAAGACGAATTCCTGACTGGCCTCACACAGAAGGTGACTCTTTTGGGTTTAGGCCAATGAGAGGAATGTCCTTTGTAAGGATCAGAGTCAATTCCAGGCCACAAGACACTGCTCTCAGTCAACGTCTTCAATGAACACATCCCAGATGTGCTGAGCGTACTGTAGCCAAGATAACTAGCAACCCCCTTTTGAAATCACAACAAAATATCTCCACAAAAGACATCTTTTGTGGCCAGAGACTTGTGCTGACAGTTTGTGAATATCTGGAAGAAATGACTTTCCCCTGGTCACTCCCTGTTAAGCTGAATCCAATGTATCAAAAATTAAACAACTCAGAAATTATTGCCTTTCATAGACAGAAAGGATAACAAAAATTCATTAATACGAGAAAGGACTAAAGATTTCCTTTCATTTTGGGAAGTTCAGGTTGGGAGTGAAGACTTCGGGGATGCAATATTTGAGAACTAATGCCATGTTTGTTCCTAACCATTTGGGAAAATGCACTGAAGTTATTTCTCTCCACAATGGAGAATCTAATCAAGATATTATGATTCTAGGATAAAAATATCCTAGAAAATGAAGCCCCTGATTGGATGGAAATTCAAAAGGTAATAAAAACACACAGTAAAGATATTTAACTTAGGATTTTTCCTTAAAGCTACTCATCAGTTTGGACATGATCTGTAAGGAGTCACTCATCTACCTCTAGTAACAACTGTTTCGTGTTGATATTAAACTCGGTATAGCA